GTGCTCTTCCCATGAGAAGCAAAAGAAAACAGGAAGCTGTTTCAGAAATCCAACTCTTACAGTGTGGGCAGCATATGAAGAAGAGGCTTGCAGAGCCAATTCGTGGTTTGAGAATGTGATGGCATTTTCTTACACTATCTTGATATTAATTAGGAGCCATAGTCTACCCAGCCTTCTTGTTCTTCAGCAGTGACTTCTATATTTTCAAAGATTCACATAAATATATTTCAATCACCATAACATAAAATGAGAAGTGATAAAGAAAAAAGATTTCCAGACAGTGGCTTAGGTTTTTTTTTTTAACAAAGCAAATAAAAGAGGTAATTTTGGCCGATGCAATTTGAATGTTCTTAGATGTATGTTCTTTTTGTTTCTGGAACCACACAAAGGAAGTATACAATTTCTTGTGGAGAAAATCTTGATGTGCAAGATGTCTGAAAATTTTTTTTCTCTGTCACTGCTCATTTTTTGTTATGGAGACTGACAGATATTTTTTAACCTTCTTTTTAATTTTAAGAGTCAGATCAAATGTACCCTTCAGGGGATTATAAGAGTACAAAGTGCAAATGAAAGAAAATGAAGCCGTGGTGCCCTTTTGATATGGACTCTCCATACAGACAAATCCTGCAATAAAGGAAGCCTTAAAAATAAGGCAGGAGTCTTCATAAGGTATCACATGAAAAGCATTATGAAAAACCCTTCTTGGCCATGACCAAAAGACTATGTTTATCTGCCCCATAAAATAAGTACTGAAATCATAGGCACTAATCTCTCTCTCTCTCTCTCTCTCTCTCTCTCTCAGTGCTGTCTTAATTGCTGAAGTTGGCTATCATCATGGCATTCCTCCACCTATCTTGCTGTGCAGATTAGTTGTTCTCTATTAAGTGCCAGCCAAAATCTGATATTACTCATCCAAGAAATCCATCTTCTTCCACTTTTTTCCTTGATCTTCCCTTTGATTATGTATTTCAGAATATTATACTTGCCATGAAGAATTATGTATCCAAGACATGAGAGCTTGAGTTTCTTAATAATCAACTCTATTTTGTTTAGTTATGTTTTCCTATCAAAAACAATTCTTTATTCTGTCAGTCTATGGAATGTGAAGGATTGTTCTGTATGTCCACATTTCAAAAGCATTTATTCTTTTGAGCCTCTTAAAAATCCAAGCCACTCATCCTTCTTTGTTGACCGTATGCAACATTTTAATGTCCCCAGGCTCAAAGATATATTAAACTGTTGTTACATAGCATTTTATTTGGTTTCACTGAGGTTCTAGCTGTTTCAATTATTTGCTTTATTTCTGTTTGTAGTGTCTATTACTAAGAATAATTTTTATTGTATATCATTTCCATTGGTATGTGGTTGGCACGCCCATTGTCTCTGTATTTTAAAAATAGAAGAAATAAATTTCTGAAATGTCTTTGGGAGCAGCCCCCACAGCCCCTTCCATGACAACACCAAGAGTAGCTGTAGAAACAGGCTCTTTTATAGAGCAATGGAACTTTTAAAGGTCTAACTGGGCCACTAACATAAAACATCTAACTCTGGGCACCAGGGAGTTGAATTTACTGCTTCAGTCCTCGGGTGCTGCCCCTGTATAGTCAATACTGGGAGGTGTGGAGCCCCATCTCCTCTAATACATTGAGGACCCTGTGCAGGTGGGCCAAGCATTGAGTCCGCAACAGGGGTGCTGGATGCATGGCATCAGGTGTCCCTGGACGTAAGTGGCAAAGGCTCCCTCCAGTTCCACTAGCCCTAAGTCCCTACCAGTGGCCCATAAATATTGTAATCCTCTTGAGTGACTCATCCAAACTTCACCTGGTCATGGTTGACATCTCCCATGTAATGGGGTGCAGGGCAGGGAGAAACAGGATGCTAACCCACTCAGGGAGAGGATGGCCATGGGGCGTCTCCCTGGGCACCACTTGACCCGGTGCTTCTGCCAGTGGCAAGCCTGCTGCTGGTTCTTATTTATTTATTTATTTATTTAATTTATTTATTTATTTGATTTATATCCCGCCCATCTGGTATATTATACCACTCTGGGCGGCTAACAACAACATGTATACAATTAAAGTAATATAATATAAATCCATAAACATCATTACAGACAGCCCTCCGGGCCTCCCTCGGCGTCAGGCTCCTCAGCCTCATCTCCTGGCTCGCGCGGGTGATCTGGGTAGATCTAGGTGGGAGAAGGCGTTCCGCCAAGTATCGAGGTCCCAAACCGTTTAGGGCCTTGTAGGTAAGCATTAGAACTTTGAAGTCGATGCGGAAACGAATGGGCAGCCAATGCAGTCTGGCCAGAGTAGGAGAAATGTGGTGGTATTTTTTCCCTCCCGTTAGGAGTCTGGCCGCTGCATTCTGGACCATCTGAAGTTTCCGCATCAGCCTCAAAGGCAGCCCCACGTAGAGCGCATTGCAGTGGTCTAATCTTGAGATTACGAGCACGTGCACTAAGGTAGTGAGCGCCCCTGTGTCGAGGTAGGGCCGCAGCCGGGCAATCCGCCAAAGGGGAAAAGGCGCAGCGGACAACCGATGGCACCTGCGTTTCCATGGTGAGCGTTGGGTCCAGATGTACGCCCAGGCTGCGGACCCCACTCGCCGGGTGCCAGGACCACCCCCCCAAACGAGAGCCACCCAAGCTGCCAGCCACGGGGGCCCCCACCCTCAGAACGTCCGTCTTGTCTGGGTTCAGCCTCAGACCATTCTCCTGCATCCATTCCAGTACGGTCCCCAGGCAGCGCTGAAGGGACAGGACGGCATCACCTGCAGTTGGTAAAAAGGAGATGTAGAGCTGGGTGTCATCAGCGTACTGATGACATGAGGCTCCACACCTCCTGATGACCCCACCCAGCGGCCTCATATAGATGTTGAACAGCATTGGGGAGATAATCGACCCCTGTGGAACCCCACAATTGGAACTCCACGGGGCCGAGACACTCTCCCCAAGCTGAACTCTCTGGGGACGATCCTCCAAGAAGGAACAGAGCCAGGCTAATGCCAAGCCACCGATTCCCAGCTCGGAGAGCCTCCCCAGGAGGATACCATGTTCAATGAGGCCGCCGAGATGTCGAGGAGGACCAACAGAGACGTTTTGCCCCTGTCAGTCTCCCTCAAGAAGTCATCGTACAGGGCGACCAATGCCGTCTCTGTACTGTGGCGCAGCCTGAAACCCGACTGGAATGGATCCAGGGCATCTGTTTCATCCAGGAGTGCCTGAAGCTGATCTGCCACCACCCTCTCCACCACTTTGCTCAAGAAAGAAACATTGGCGATGGGCCTATAGTTGCCAATTCTTGAGCTTCCAAGCATCTTGGTGCCTCACCTGGTCTCTACAGGCCCAGACGGCTTCCTTCAGTGACACCAGAAGTTCTACCCAATAACAGGTTTCGAGATCCCATCTGTGGACTGTCTCTCAGCCAGCCTTTGACAAGTGGCAGCACCTCCTGAGCCTCATATGGGCCTTCCAATCTATGGCATCCGCCCAACAGCCCTCTTGTCTCTTGCTCCTCCTTAAATTCAACAAGCCTATTCAGACCAGGGGGAATTGAAACCAATGTGGAGGATATATCAGGGATCTCCTACCAACTTTCCTCAGACTGAAGAAGCTACAATGTAAGCTCGTAGATGTGTAGCAAAACATTTCAAACTAATAAGGAAGAAGTTCAGTTGCCATGACTTAACTTCCAGATGTCTATTTGTGTGCTTAGCTGGCTCAGAGAGTCAGAACCTATTACAGCAATTCTTAAGTACAGTGGTGCGTCGCATAGCGAGGTTAATCCGTTCCAGATTAATCCTCGCTATGTGAAAACATCGCTAAACGGAACGTAAAAACCCATTGGAGCGCATTAAACATTGTTTAATGCATTCCAATGGGCCCTAAACTTACCGTTCAGCGAAGTTTCCTCCATAGCGGCAGCCATTTTTGCGCCCTCGGGAAGCGAGGGGAGGGTGCGAAAATGCGCGCGGCCCTTTCGGGGCTTCCGGTGGCCATTTTGGAACCATCTAACAGCTGATCCGTGGGCATCGCAAAGCGAAGATCGGTAAGCATTTCGCTATGCGAGTTTTGCCCATTGCGACCATCGGTATGCCTCCGCATTAGCGTTCCCGGAAAAGGGATCGCTATGTGGATTCGTCGTTATACAGTGCGCTCGTTAAGCGAGGCACCACTGTAGTTTTACTGGTGCAACAGAAAATGAGAGATGTGTCCTGTGAAGTCTGGTACACCTTTTCCCATGCTTCAAGGTTGAGCAGGAAGTCCCACATGTTAATTTGCCTTTAAACTCTGTTACAGTACATTGGTGGGCATCAGGGGATTGGATTGTCTAGGCAGGGCCCCTCTTCCATGAAACTTTTTCCTATAGCATATATGGCTAGTTGCCTCAGTTGGGGCATTGAGAAGGGCTTTAAAATCCTAATTGTTTCAGGCTTCTAAGTTACATATTTAATAGTCCTTTTACTGTTTTATTTGCAATTTATTGATTGATTACAAAAATGATTTTTATGCTGGCTGGATTATATTTTAGTGATAAGTATTTTTGTATTATAAACATTACAGTTTTATTATAATGCTGTAGTACTTTTGTATTTATGTTTTATTGAAGGTATTTTGCCTCGGGTGAACTTGATCCAAAAAATAAGTATATAGAATATTTAAACATGTAAAGAAATAAAATATAGCTCTTCTTATTCCATAAATATGCCAATTCATAAATATGATATGTTTCTTTTTTGTTTTCTTCTCCATTATTGGTGGCATGTTGCATTGGTATTTTCTTGGGAACATGCAAAAGTGGCCTTTTTTTCATTTGCTTACAAGTTTTCAAATATTCTTTTACATTATTTTCCTCCCTGCCTTTTCTGTTGTAGCTAGTCTATTTATAAAGCAGGGGGTATTGTAACCAGCAGCAGGATATTTATTTAGGGTATTTGAAGTTTTTCTTATGAAAGCAGAATAAATGTAGCCTGCTGTGTAATCCTTTTTTCTCTTTTAGATGTCTCATGGATAAACTGTAAAAGAGATAACGATGGAGGAGGAATTTACAGAATACCTTGGCTCTGCTTCTGAAAAGCAGTTGCTTGAACATGGAGAAACTGCTGACCAAAATGATGGAAAGAAGTTGCAAGATCTTGTAATGGTTCGGCAACATGCTCAGTATTTAAGTGATCTACGAGACATGCACTACTGTGTTTCACTTAAGATATGTGATTTATCTGGTAATTTCCTTATAAATATTGATGCACTTGAATGTTGTGTTAATTTAATTAAACTGGATCTCCATAGCAATCAGGTAAGCAAAGATGACATGAAAATAGCCTAACTTGTAAAGTAAACTAATTTATGGATTTGAGTCTGTTGATCAGTGCTACATGTTTAACTTGTCCTATCTGTACTGTTAAGTGGTACTGTGATATAGTGTACTTAATACTAACAATATGTGTATCATAGTTAGAATCCAGTAAAGTAACATCACATACCTGTTATTACAAGTGTCATTAAGGTTTTAATAATATTAATAGCATTTTGAGAGAAACAGTATATCTTTTTTTATGTTTGTCTGTATTTTTATACGTAAATAAAAATAACAGGCTGAATATGTATAATGAGTCATAAATTGAAATAATCATATTTCTGAGTTTATTCTTATGTTACAAAAACAGGATGCAGTTTTTTTAAAATAATTCAGTGACAGGTTCTCATATAATTTTCCTGAATTATAGATGCTTATACAGTAGCTAGGAAGTCAATAAAGAGTGATATAATCAGGAGGGGATATGGCCATCTGGAGAAACTAAAGATGGTTGGATTTGGATCCTATAAGGTTTTCCTACAAGTACTGTATTGCCTTTGCAATTAGCCATATTGGTGCAATACAGGGTTATACTGAACAGCTTGGTGAACCCAAGCAGGCAACTTGAGGTCACAAAGTGCTGGTTATGTGTGACTGGCATGTCTCTGTTTTCAAACATGCTCATTTCCTCTTCCTTGGTTGGAAGGAATGGGAGCTCCAGGCTCAGTGGGGGAGACACAACTTTGGATTCCCACTTTCATCGGATTGCACCAATAACCATCCCAGTAATAGGATTATCAAATTTGCAGACGATACTACACTAGTAGGACTTATCTCTGGGGATGATGAGTCTGCGTATCGGGACGAGGTATTACAGCTATCCCGCTGGTGCAAAAAAAACAATCTTTTATTTAACATCCAAAAAACCAAGGAATTCATAGTGGACTATAGGAAAAAAAGAGCAGACATTCAGCCACTGTATATAGATGGAGTTTGTGTGGAACAGGTGGTTGAATGTAAGTTTCTTGGGACTATCATAACAAATGACCTGACTTGGAGTGCAAACACCGCTGCGTTAATCAGGAAGGCACAACAACGGTTGTATTTTCTAAGGATTCTTAGAAAGCAACAATTGACTGAGAGTTTGTTAATCACCTTCTATCGGAGTTCGATTGAGAGCATATTATCCTACTGTCTCTGTGTATGGTTCACGAGCTGCACAGTGGCAGAGAAAAAGGCAATTCAAAGGGTGATTAAGACGGCCCAAAACATCATTGGCTGTTCACTCCCCTCTTTGGAAGAATTGTATAAGAACAGATGTAAGAGGAAGATATCTAACATACTGAAAGACTCCTCTCATCCGGGATATCAGCTCTTTAAACTATTACCATCAGGAAGGAGATTCAGGGTATTGAAAGCAAGGACAAGCAGATTCAAGAACAGTTTTTACCCAAGTGCAGTATTGAGTTTAAATGCGGGGCCATAGGTTTTTGGTGGAATTTTAATTGCTGAGAGAAAACGGGGTATCTATATTTGGATGGTGAAAGTTGTGTATATTTTAACTTTTTTTTGTAGTGTTGTCCAGTTTTACCTTGGGGAAGAGCACCTCATTTCGTTGCACCCACTTGTGAGCGCAATGACAAATAAATTTCTTATGTCTTATGTCTTACAGTATGTCTTAAAGTGTGGGGGAGGACTTTTGTGCACATACATACACAAGGACTGAGCCTTCATGTAAGGCAGTGGTCCCCAACACGTATACACACACACATACGTACGTACGTACACACACACACACACACACACACACACACACACACACACACACACACACACACACACAACACACAATTTA